ATTATTATTACCTTTATTTATTGATTTATTTATAGGCCCATTTTTCCCTTCACTTGAAAGGAGGCTGGGGTGTCTCCCAACGGCTGAGAAATGCAGGATGGCAGCAAAAGCACCAGATATTGAACTACTTCCCCTCACTCTCTTTGGGCAAAAATAAGCAAATTTTTGCTACAAACGTATGTAAACCCAACTGAAGCATTAGTTAAAAAAAAAAAATTAAAAGAAAACAAAAATTTGGGGGTCACACACAATACTGACTGTGTATGAGGGGACTGCCAATTTTAAAAGGGGCAAAACAATATGATGATAGCTGTAATAAAAATCCTTCCTTGCTAAAAACCTGTTAGAAAGATGCAGGTATGCCTGTACACTGTACTCCCTGTGACAGCTCTCTCAGGGGGAGTAAGAGGAGTAATTTATTTCTTTTTATTTTTCAATAAACACAGTGCAAACAGGCTGGATTCAGAACACTCCCTGCTCGCAGGTATCAGCTAGGCTAGCCTTTCTCCTGCATCTCACAGCCCAGATTTAACTCCGAGGCCAATCCTAATGGCTTTTAACAGTGTTTCACAGTTCTCTGCTGCTTTACTCGAGCTTGTGCAGATGAGCTTGGTCCTGCTTTCTCATCAGCCACCGCTTCTTTTCCTGCTCTCCCCAGCTTTTGGCCATAGAGACCCCGCTCAGCCGTTCGCCTTTCTGGGAGACAGCTCGAGCGGAAGCAGTACAGGGCAGCACAAGCCACTGGCGCTTTCTATAGCCAGACTAAGAAAAAGAGCTTCGGAAATCTTATGAGGAGGCTTTAAAATCACATCCCAGGGGCCAGACCTCTTGTGCCAAGGAAGCACACGAGTCCTGCAACCTTTGGTTTGGCAACGCTACTGCACGTTGCATTTTTCATTTGTGGGGCATGGTGTTAACAAAGGCGTTTTCTAATTATTGTGAGGCAAAACATGTCATAATTTAGACCTTAAAGGAGACCCCTGTGTCAGTAAATAACTGGGGAGGTGGATTGGCCACTCATAATCTCTCGGCTGGGATTGGAGTTAATCTAGGTTTTGGTCTGACCAATGCACTTAGCACAGATAATCCCTGTTGTTGTAAAGAGCTAAGTTTGGTATCTCCCATTAAACAGTTGGGAGTGGATGACTAAAGGGTTTTTAGGTCATTGAAAGTCTCTCGCGGAGATACTCATGAATTCTGGGCAAAGCATTTGAACGTCATTCCTATGGGACAGTTTGCTTTGATGCAGAAAAAAAGGCCTTGACCTTTCTGTATTACCTGGACTGCCTCGGGGGCTACTTTCTGTAAAATGAAGCCCTAGCTTTTCATCACAACCTGGCAGCACACACTGGTGTCCTCAGATGCATTCACAATTCCCAGCAGCATCAGCAGGCATCAAAATGAAGCCCACAGACTTCAACCATGTTTCTAGGCTCTCTTCAGAAAATCAGAGTGGAGGATAGCATCTTTCAGAGTAGAAACACCTACCTATCATCTGAGCAATCGTCTTCTCATATTCTGAAACTATTTTCCTATAAGAGGGAAAAAAAAGAAAAGCTTTTGGCAAACATCATAATGGCTAATGCTTACTTAGAAAATAATGCTACTCAATAACTGAACTATGGTATTTTAAAAGAGATACAGAACCCCTTCACACTTTTATATGCTCCTTATTACCTGAGTAACAAATAAAACTGACAGTTTAAACATTGCACCTGATTTTTAATTCTCCATGTAAATCAATACAGGTAGGGAGAGGGAAAAGGGATTGCTTTGAAACAAATTCTGTTATTTGAAACATGCCCAAAGTACATTACCAATCATGATTTAAATATAAACCTAATCACATTGGTCTAATTCAAGAGTTACAAAGAGTCTGATTTTTCCATTACTTTCTCCCCTCTTCTGTTTGTGTTTGCTTATTTTTAATGTAAACAATAAGTAAAGTTATAATTGGTAGCAAGTAAACCTAACAGCAGTGTAGTTGGCCCTCATCCAAAATAAATCTAATCTTCCACTCTTCAAATGTGACTACATGATCCATTAGAAAACAAGACCAAAATATTCAATTATGTAACACAAAATCCATTGTGTCCTATTTCCCAAATCTGTTTTTGAAACAGAGGTGGCAAAATGCTACTTCTAACACTATTTTATTTCATATACTCACGGTAGGCTTTGAATTTCCTTCTTGAAAAGAGGTTAGCCAAAATAAGCAGATTAAATGTGATTTAGAAAGATGATCCACTCCTTCCCAGAGCCAAATAAAGCTAATGAAATGAGACTAGCTTGATCTGTGCTTTGATTCATGAGCCACGTAGGACTGTCTATGAAAAACAAAATTACCCCACACTTCATCTGAAGTGGATATTCAAAATAGCTCACTGGAGTTTGAATACGTCTCTTTTGAAGTCTTAGCTCGCTTTCACTTGCTCCATTTTAGAGAAGTCTGCTGCAGTTGGTGAGGTTACAGAAAGGATGTGGGAAAATCCTGAGACAAAAGTCAGTAAGGAAAGGAGAAACTTGCGGAGCTCCCAAAAAACTAATGCAGTGATTCCAAAAAGTACCGCCTGTCTCAAATCCGAATCACACACAGAGCCCAGAAACCCCTGAGAAGGCCACCTGCCCCAAAGGCCAGTGGCGTCTCCCTTGCCCGGGTCCCGCAGAGCAGGGGATACAGCTGCGCACCCCGCGGACCTCGCTCAGGCTTCGGGTAGAAACAATTTTCGGTACGGGGGCCACAGCCCGTCTCTGCAGAGCTCGCCCTCCCTCCAGCCGCTGCCCCCACTGGGATCTGCTCGGATGCTGCTTTCCTGCTGTCAGGCCTGTTGTTTTAATTGGCTTTTTTCTTTCTTTTTTTTTTTTTAATCATAAATGACACTTTTGAGAGCAAAGATAGCCGCAAGGATTTTCCCCTAAAAGGAAGGGATTGGTTTCATGTCCAAAGAAGAGTACCTCAAAAGCTTACTGTAAGCAATAAGGATTTTAAAGCCATGTCATATCCATGTAACATCAGGCACCTTTAGGAAGTTTTTTCATCCTAGAAAATGAAGCCAAGGACTCAGGGCAACGAACACGACATTATACACTGTTACAACACTACAGCACTTCCCAGCCTAGGCTGCACCACGGAAGTTGGCAGCAGAGTGAAATAACATTATCTATTTCTTATTTTTAGCAGGCTTAGACTACTTCAAGTAGGTACCACATTCTTTGCATTATCCAGCCTTACGAATCATGTGGCAGATGTTCAATAGAAGCGGATACTGCAATGGCACATTGATTTTAATAATATTCGCTCTGGAAAGCAAGGTAGTCAAGTGAAGTCTTGTTCCAGATTCATGTCAAAGGCCTCTTTCAGTCAAGTAGCCTAAATAACGGTCATTATGGCTGAGGAACCAAAGGATGCTCGTCACATTATTCCTCTCTGTGATGGCACACCGTAACCCTAGCTTGACATGCTGCATAGCTTAACTTTCGGTATTTTAGACATTCAGTCTATTTATTGACTTCCTGCAATTTCCTAAGTCATAAACCCATCAAAATCCAGGGCTACAAAGGATCTCAGAGGTCATCTGCTTGACTTCCCTTACTGAGGCATAATTAATTTCACCTCCAAATAACCATATTTAAGTATTTCTTGCCTGCCTCTGGTTGTACCCTTGGATTACGGTATAGCCCACCCTGATGTAGCTCTTTGATAGTTATTACATTATTACAACTTCTCATCTTGGCTACTGTTCTCTGGAGTGGAATTTCCTCCAGTCTGACGTTTTTCTGGAAACTTAGCTGAACTCAGGATATTCCAGGTAGAGTACGCAGGACTTGAGTAAAGGAGCATTGCTTCTCCTTCTGTGGAAAGTGATGCTTTTGTGCTTGCAACTCTAGATAATCCCTTCACTCCTTGCTTATCATTATGTCATATCTAATTGCTGCATCTCTGTTTTACCACACATGGACTGTTTCAACATTTACTCTTCCAAGAGAAATCTTTCTTTGTGCATATTTTACCATTTTGTGAGAATATTAGATTTTTTTTTCACCCATGCGTTCTGGGGATGTGCCTGTGGGAAATTTGGCTTAGATAATGAGTTTTTTTCAAATCAAATTTTATTGAGGGTGTAGGCACACAAGCAAATTACTGTGAGGAAGACGAAGGTACAGATCTACAGTGTGCCAGCTGCTCTGTGTCGCCCCCTGCTCTCCTTTCATTAAGGAATAAGCAACCTCTGTCAGTGCCCGTTTGCAGCCGGCAGGCGTGTGCACCCCGGCAGTTTCTAGAGAACAGACCAAGTACGGCACTTGAGCGTGTGCTGAATGCTGAGACGTTCCTTACACAATTCCTGATTTTGTTCATTCCTTGTTTTGCTTCCTCGGTTTGACTGCTTGCAGCAGCTCCTTTCCTCATTATGCATTTGAGGGCTATGCCAGGGTTTTGTTTCCTTCCCCAAGCAGAGCGCAAGAGAGGTGAGAGAACTCAGCTGGGCACTGGGAGATGGTTTTCTGAAAGAAATAAAGCGGCTGCTCTTGCCTTTTGCAGATGCTTCTTTTAAGATGCTTTGGCTCAAAGCCCCGCGCTGCCGCTATTCAAATCTGCCATGTGCGACTCCTGGCATCCATGCTAGCGTTTGCCGAGTTCTGTACTGCAGTTCCCTTTTACCCTTACTCCCTAAGTACAGTTTTCCTGTACCTTGGATAAAAGCAGGAATTGCATATGCAGGTCATCACGTGATACAGCTCATTGGCTTTAGCTTTAAACCACCGAGACATTTAATTTTGGAAAGAAGCTGGTGCTAGAACAGAAGTGATTTTGAAGAAAATTCAGTCTCAGAAGTGATTGCAGAAATTATTACTTAAAAGAAGGCTGCTAAAATAAGCTGACAGTTTCCTTTTATTTATGAGTTAAGGGGGGAGATGTTTTTTCCGTCTGTTTGAAGGTAGAAAATAATAGGCTTTAAAGATCCATGAAATATTTTTATACATTCTGTTTTGCAATTGATGACTTTCTCAGATTCAGATCGATGAGCAGGTCAAGCTCATTGGTATGTTGTTCTTACGGTATTGCCACTGTAAAAAAAGAAAGGCTGAAACTTTCAAATGACTAAATGGGAAGCAATAGTGATTCTTTGAGCAACACCGCTCACCTCATCCACTACAGTGATTTTGTTGTCACCCTTGCAAGAGGTAGGACCTGGGCTGGGAAGGAAGGTCAAACCAGTTCTGTTCCAGCATACAGATATTTAATATAAAAGAGGCAGGTTTGCAAGGAGAAATAGAATAGAACAGATACAACTAGAACAAACTGAAAAGCTCAGGGTCCTTCTGTCAGCTCTCAAGCAGAGCAGCAAAATCCAAAATAACTATTGCTTAACTAAAATCAAGCTTAGTGTGTACAGTAATTAAAAAAATCAGCTCAGTCCAAAGAAAAGGGTGTAGAATCTCCTTGAAAGTCAACACTCAGAGGCCAGAGTGGTTCCTTTGCAAGAAACGTTTTTCTACTGGCAACTGGGTTTTTGTTTTCTATTGTTAAAGAAACTTTTTACAATAATGGCCTGGAGAGAGCCTGTACTACTCATACCTATCTGCAAACCTTCACATTCTTTCTTCTGCTGGCAAAACTATTTGTGCAGAGTGAATTTTAAATTAGCACGTGCATACCTCTGCCAGCTCTGCAGGCAGACTCATTCAGTCGGGCAACAGAAACACCACTATGCAATCCACGTGAGAATTCACAGCACAAACTGGAGGAAATTCTTCCCTTACATTAACCTAGATTAAGACCTCTCTTATCTCAGTATTTTGAGGATGTAAATGAGATTAACAACACAGAAGTTTTCAATTATTAGCCTAAACAGGGGTGCCCACCATGCAAAGCAAAGATGAAGTATCATTTAGGATCAATCCAAAGCCTGCAGTTAAAAATAATGAAACAAATTCAGCTAACCAAAACAATTGTACTCACGGTACTCTGCGTACTATCCACAGGCTGAAATGAGACTCTCTGTCAGTGTGGTTAGTGACAAGTTAATAACCCACCTCATTTCCATCACTTCCCTTCTGCTTTCTTCGTATTTCTCTTTCCACTCAGATACTTCTCTTTCCTTGGCCACAATCTGAAACAAAGAAAGCAAAGAAAAAAAAACCAGTAAAACCAAGTGATCCATTAAAGAGGAAATTAAATAACTGTACAATATTTGATTTAATATCAAATCCTAATTAACAGAGGTATAGTTTTCAAGTGCATAATGGACTCAAATATAAACATCCCCAGTGATTTTTTTCTTTTTCAGACTGTAAGGTGCAATTTAAAAAGTTCGGATATGAAATCATACTCAAGTTTTGAAAAACTAACTTAGGAAAGTAGATGCAATGTTCTTGTTTCATGTTTCATTCCTGATTATAACCAGGACATTTTTCAAGAAATACTATATTACACTACACCGTGTCTGATTTGACCTGGTGCCAAACCTGAAATACTTCTGTACCTGGGTTTGGAACATGGTCCCCTGATTTGTCCTCTAAGGGAGTTCTACTGCTTCTGCATGCATATTTAGGGCTGACGGACCATGAAATTTTATACCCAAAGGACTGTGTTCCTTTGTGCTCCTTTCATTCACACAATCTATCATAAAGTTTGGAATACTCTAACACTAGATTGTACTTATTTTTTAATTGTTATTAGCCAGACTAATCTTATATGTAGCTTTGTAAAATACATAATTTTATTCCTATTTCTAGCATCTTACAATTTTTGTATAATTATATAGCAATGTCAAGATACACAGAGTACACTTGAGGTTAAAAACAATAAAGATTTTTTTTCATATAGTGTCTGCTTTTCACTTATGTCAGAAAAAGTAAAACTTACAGTGTAGCGCCTTTTGCTTTGGTAGCCTCTAGCGTGGCTTTAGCACGGCTGAGGACGGTTTCAGGAATAGAACAAGTGTTCGTAATATGAATCATTTGGGAGAAAACAGGAAAGACAGAAACCACAAGGGGCACACATTTCCTTTTCCAAGTTCTGAAGAAAATTACCTCTGCTCTGGCGAGTCGTAGTGCAGAATCTAAGTCTTGCTGGGGGTAGAGAAGACCCGTGGTGCTTTCTGCATCCGAGGTGCCGATCCGGGAGTACAGTGCACTTTTAGAGATGGAAACATCTGCTGGGATAGCAGGTTCTCTCTGTGTGTTTGGTTTTTTAAATACAAAGAAATGAACCATTAAATATGTGTTTAGCTCACATGTTTTCTGGGTGTAGTGCTAGGCACCAGGGTCCTGAACTAGGACTAGAATCCTGTGCACTACTAAATTATAACAGCAATAACACTGACAAGGAGCTTTGAATTTAGCAATCGTAAAATATATATTTAAGATCCATAGTAAGCACCAAGAAAGCCGTATTACCCTTATAGAGAGAAAATGAAGACAGCACTTTGCCACCAATATTTTAAGGTCCTATATTAGAAAATTTACTACTTTCTGATGCAGAAATTTCATCAAAACATGCGCAAGAAATGCACATCAGCAGAGGAAATTAGAATTGGAGGCAGAGAGCTTGTTAAGGGGAATTCTGCTTCCATAAAAATAGATCAAGAAACTAGAAGCAAGAGGACAGCTCACTTTCTTAGGTCTGACCTGCCAATATACTATATCTATCATAAAAGGTATTACATAAAAAGTGTGCATATACAAGTGACGTTGCTGCCCCACTGGTATTTAGCATGCGATTAGTAAGTTAAATGAGGTTTTATTCGCAGCTGCCAATTTTGCTCACGTCAGCGGCTCAGATTAACGCAGGAGGAGAGCAGCACGTGAAATGAGGAAGAGAGCAAAAAAGAGGTATGTGACACTGAGATGCATGAGATGTCTTGCAAACAACTCTAGATACAAACAACCCAAGTTACAGCACATTAAAATCAAGGAGATTATAAAAGACAGTTAGGAAGATACTAAACAAAAAAAAGCCCACATTTTTAGACACCATCCGTAGCAAGCCCCTGAGAGCAGACCCCTCTGCAGCAGATGCACCACCACAGCTATACGTCCCTGTGCCCCCTACCTATGCTTTGCATCTCACCATCAACCAGCTAACATGCACGTGCTGACTGCCTGGCTGGGTATTGCCTCTGGTGGTCTGGGAAACAAAATGTTCTTTCTCTCAGCTGCTGGTGGGTCACAAAATAGTTTTGGGGGTGACCATACCCCTATTACTGGGGTTTAATGTTCCACTCCTCTGTTAAATATGCACGAAACTGGCCACAGGAATCAGGATTACTGGGGTCGGGGAGGAGAGGGGCAGACGGTACAGACACCGCAGCCACCACCAAAACACTGCTTCCTTACAACACTGGACTAGAACAGGCTGGAGAATCAAAATATCACAAAAAATTAAAATAAACTTTTTTTTAAGAGAGGAAGCCCTCATAGAGACCAAACGAGGTAGCAACTTAATGGTAAGAGGCATCTCTATGAGCTCTGTTATGTTTCCAGGCTCCAGAGCAGAGAAAGGGGATCCCCTCCACCCATGCAGTGCTCGGACCCCCATGACTACTCTGCACAGGCACAGGCTACATTGTCCTTGGGATAATTCTGCGAGACAGAGCCAGAGCACCTCCATTTCACGGGCTGAGGACCCGCTCCAGTCCCCGCATTGCCAGGGAGCCCCACCTCAGTGAGCACCGTGGGGGAAGATGGGCTTAGCCCTGGCCAGGGATGTGCTCTTGCACTTATTAAGTATTTTCCTTTCTCTTTCTCTTTCTCTTGATATGAAATCCTTCCACCAAAAGAAGTTTCATAGGGAAGATCTTGTATCTGAGTATGGCTGAAATTCCATTAATTTCTGTGACCTAAGAAGATACTTCACGTGAAACTTCACATTGAAACACACTGACTTCAGCGGAGAGGACACAAATGCCCAGAAATCCCTCTCTCACTGTGTATGTACACACATCTCAGTCACTTGCTAAGCCAGTGTCAAAACTGCATTCTAAAATATGGAATGATTTTTTTTTTTTTTTTAATTTAACCTGCAGATTCAGTAGCAGAATTTTTCAGTGGGCTCTCATGACAATTAAAATTTTCTCTATGATGATGCTACATGTAGCCACAGAGAGGGCTGGACCATGGCCCACAGTTTGTGTGGGTGGAGAGGGAAGTCAGGTTGATCAATGCCTTTTTCCATCCACTGGTGGAAATGGATATTCACATACAGCTTTTCTGGTACAGCAACTCCTTGCTGCTGAAAAGGGGATAACTTATTTTTCCAGTTAACTTGTTACCTTTGTGCATAAAGCAATATATTCTGTTCCTTCAAGTTCACTAATGCAGTACCTTAGTCTTTAGGCTTTATCTGCAAGAGTAGTAATAAAGATTTTTTTAACGAGTTTTTTTACACAAAAGAGAGAAAAAGATTTTATTTCATTGTAAAAAGAGGGTTGGGTTTTTTAGCTGTTTTTTTAAAAATAAAATAGCAGAGTCACATTCTACTGCTTGAAGCACAGGAATGTGAAAGTGAGTAGATAATGTCCGAATTAAGGTTCAGTCCTGCTCTCCGCAACGTGCACACAAATAGACCTCATTAATTTCAACACCACATGTTCTTGTTTCAACACAGTTAAAGGACATTTTGTCAGATGCTATTCTATAAATCATTCACTTGCTCACAGTTCTTTTCGCATAGCCTAGAATAATAGGAAGGATCGAAGCCCACTGTTAATTTTGTTGCAATCACTTCTGAGTTCTCCCATCACATCTTATTGAAAAAGCTATACTAAAAATTACATACAATGCTCACTTGAGATAAACACAGGACTAGATGTTCTGGATATCACGTCTGTAGTCAACATGAAGAAACCACACCAGCAACATGAAAAGACTAGGCAAGAAAATTTAATTAGAGCAAGAATAAGCTAAACATTACTTACAAAACACCATACTGCATCTTTATTTCTATAAGAGACTCTCACTAATTTGCTCTGTATTTTTTGTTCATTTTTAAACAGTCAATTGACTGTTACTTCTAGCATTTATGGAGCAGGTCATCCATTCTCTTTTTTGCTACATTTAACCTGAACACACAAAATAATGATCAATTCCAACATAATTAGGAGGTGCAACCTCAAATCCAGTGGATTCTCCCACCTGAGCAAAAAGCATCACAAGATATATCAAAATTACATAGCATGTATTCTTCAAAGTATCTCCCAATATACATCATCTATGCAGGAAAAGATGCATCTGGGACACAAGCTCAAACATCTATGTAAATGCATAAATACAAAACCACATGGTGCTGTCCACAGGTCTGAGTAAAGGTAAAACAGCCAATAAATAAGACCACTGCTGGCTCAACTCAGTATCCTAATTTCAAAAAAATGTACTTTAGTTCCTCCTCAAAGACAAGGCAAGAAAAACCGAGAGATAAAAAAGAGCCATTAGATCATCAAAGCTGCCCTCAAAAGAAAGGCCATCCTGAAGATCAATATGTTGAACTGTATGTATCATATTTCAAAAGCCTCCTGCAGCTTAATTTGCTGGATCTCAAAAAGAGATTGCTGGAAAATATTAATTGTGGCGAAAGAAACACCAATTTCCTCAAGCTCATATAAAAACGTGTCAAAGTAACTGCCAGGATGATGAACATTTTTAAAAGAAAAAGAACATTTAAAGCATATAATACATACTTATGTATATTTTTTACATGGTGCTCAACACCTCACTAATATAGTTATGTTTTCTCTAGTTCTCTCTTGCATTTGAATAAATTGTACAAAAGAACAGTAATAATGACATGCAAAACAACTTAAAATTTCCAAAAACTACTGTAAAACCTCTTGGAATTTAACCCTTGAGCAGAAATGCTTGCAGTAGTGGTCCGACCACTCTGGAAACACTTCACACGAGTCACAACTGGGCTGCTGGGTTCTCTCTTTGGCAGGAGCAACCAGTAAGAGTCCTCGTGGTTTTATTTCAAAAGCCAATTTCACACAGCTCCAAAGTGATGTACAATTCAGTAACTGCTATTTGCTGCCTCCAAATATTCCTATTCTGAGAAAATAATATAACCTGAACAACAGGATGATAGTATTACCCAAAATAACTCTGTCAATGCTTTAAGTTCAACACCTAACTGCTGAGAAGGTAAGCAGTTAATTGGGGTAATAATAAGTCACTGAACTTCGCACAGAAAGATTAGAGTCTGCAGGGGAATTACTACTAAATGTAGGTCACTACAATCTTAGTGTAAATATTTGAGAGCCCAACGCACTTCCTCTTCTCTTCCCAGCATCTTTCACAGAAACCAGATATCTGACCAGAAAGGGAATAAATGCACATCGATTAACCAGCTGCAGTTATCTCGCTTCAAAAAAGTCAAAGTGAAAGAAAATACAGAAAGGCACCGCAGTGAAAATGAAAACTAATTTTTATCATACTGTTTAGAAGAATATGTATTTAGCCCTGCTGAAAATTAGCTTACCCTTTACAAGCATTCAAATACTGCTTGGGTGCATATCAAATGATCTACTCTTTTAACTAATTGATGTGGGTGCAGACAGGAGGCAAAACAAGACCTATTTGTGCTTGCAAACATATTGAAAAGCAAGTAACATCCAAGCATAAGTTCTCTGCTTGTAAAGTTTTACTAGAAAAAATGGTATCCCTGCTTGAAGGAAATATTCCTCCTTCACTACCATGAGAGCCCCCCAAAGCTGTGATGCACTAATCCCATTTGTGCCGATGCCTTTCCTTTCAGTTTCTCTCCTTTCCTTGGATCTTATTTCAACACCCAACTCTCCATCTCCTCAGCATCTGTAGGGTGGTGGACACAAAGCCTATCAGCTTTCTGTTCAAGTTGCACCTATAAAAAAATGGCCACAGGACATCCTAATGGAGACCGTTTAACAGAGAAGTGTTAACTCACCTCAATGCTGGAAGATAGAAAACTTTGGCAATGTAAAAATAGACAACTAGCCCTGCTGTTGTTGGAGTCTGTGACAAGAAGTTTGGGAGTGGCCAAATAACTTCCCTCTGTCTGAGAACAACAAACTGCACATCCTTATTCTCAGTCCTAGTACTAGCAGAAAATGCTTGTATTTAATCATTATTTTAGGTGACCTAACTTGCCATAACAAGTTCTTGTGTCTTTATTTAGCATCCCGTTCTTGTTACCCCATCCTGTAACGGTTTAGCAAATGTTAAATGTAATTATACAACATTAAAAAAAGAACTGAGGCCAGCCAACCAGAAGGGAATTCTGCCAGTTAGCATCCGAATTTAAGTCCCTGCAGTCGTCTGGTGGATCCTATTATACTTAATCCAGGCCATCAGTCACTGTAGGTCACAAGGGCTGTCATCATAGGCTAATTTAACATTAGCAACCTCCCACAGAAATAGCCAAGTTATGCAAGGACAAAAGTCCTTCCCAGCCTAACATGACAGTATTCACTAAAAGCACTCCTATGACTGGACCAACGTGGGGCTTTGTGAACGTGAAAATCTTACCGATTCTCTGTCAGAGGGTGGAGTTTTGCTTATTTTTCTCTCCTCGTCTCTGCTTATCATTTTTGCTATCTTTGTTATACAAATTAATGGCATTTTCTAAAAATTCATATGAAATCCATTCCCCATTTCTAAGTTCTAAGGAGTTCATAAACTTGTTCTATATAAAAGAAAATGCTGTAATGATGTTAAAAAGCACCTTTAAAAGATAACGCCATGTAATCATATACATACTATAATATTTTTGCAGCTCAGAATCTTCCCTGGGTAACACACAAGAATTCACAAACATAAGAACCTATTCTCTTCAGCCTGAAATAGCACAATTTGTGAGTTTCTGAATTGCTGGCCGGTAGCAAAAATGCAGATGCCTAACAGAAGTTTTTTGTATAACCTATGAAGAGCACCTAGGTATCATTATGTGTTTCATCTCGAGTGTTTCCTGGTGCTGGAGAGCCTGACTGCTGCATGTTACAGCAACGTGCTGGGAGGACAAGGAGGGAGAGGGAGAACAAGGACGTAGAGAGGATCCCACCTCACCCTCTTCTGACACCCGCCACTCAGGGCAAGGGAGCAAGGGGACACAGTCACACGCAGGCTAGTACTCAAACAGGAAAATGGTATTTAAGCTAATCTTGGTTTCTAATGAAGACAACGGCACGTTTTTCTTGATTAAATAAAAGATTATAGCCACATACTTTAAAACACCCATAAATCTGCATGGAATGTGTTTACTTCAGTAAGTATATGTGCACCATGGAAACAGCTGGCTTGTGGGCTATTTTGCTTAATGTAAGCAAAATAAATCAGATATGATCATTATTTTTTCATAAAAGTACAGTTAATTTAAAAAAATCTTTACTTTTATGAACTAGCTACTATCTTTCTACCCAGCTCAAATGTTGTTATGATGCAATGAACTCAAGATGATACAGAACCAGCCAAAAGACTTCCCACTGATTTATTAATGGACAGTATAAGAAGAGAAAGATCACTGGAGAAGAACATGTCAGAAGCACATTCTCCTCATTTGGAATAAAATACCTCACTGCAGCAAGACACTGCCATCAGCATCCCATTCAGCTGATACCACCTCCCAAGAAAGCCACTAACATTTTTTGCTTGACATTTTTGTTAAAAGCACCACGAGGAGCATCATAAACTGGCTGCACAACCGGCTAACCACCAAATCCAGCACATCAGAGTGAGCTTTTCTGTCCCGTTCCAAACACAGCGAGGACCACGTGCATCCCTAGAGCAGTGCAAAGCATCACTCTGAGGAGGCACTAGCCAGCACAACATAGAAGTAGCAATAAAAAAAAAAGCTTTAGATCTTCATGAATAAACACATTGTGTTGGGAGGCCTTTTTTCCTTGGGAGCTCTACAGCCCTTCCAAGCCTGCTGCAGTCCCTTTCTTCAGAAGCCTGAAGGCAGGGTTGATTGATCTTCTCACTTCTGAACTTTGAGGGTCAAGCTGTCTGTTTTCAAGCTGAAAATACCGACAAAAGGCAAAATGCCCCTGCAGTCAAAATCTATAGCATCTTTATAAGAAGTAGGTTTGGTATTGCTTTGCCATCAAACATTTTAAGAGAAATCTTGCTGTAGACAGAAGACAAATGGCCACATGACTGCGAAATTGCGAAAGGAATATGCCTGCTTCCTGCCTTCAAATTTGCCTTTTGTTAATTTGGATGTAGCAGTACTCTGTAAGTGGAGCAGGTGACAGCATTTCCGTGTGCAGTACTGCTTTCAGCATGCTCTTCCATGCTGCACTGAGGTGCGCTCAGCTTAGCACAGCACTCTCAGAGCCTTAGTTACCTTGTTAAAGAAAAAGCAGCACTCGGTTTCTTAGTCTGTGCACACTCACACACACATGGCAGGCACAAAACAGATACCTCGGAGCGGAAAGAAGACAGGGTAATCTGCCTGGCTAACTTCAGTGCTTCTATCCTCATTGCAGCAAACTCTAACTCCTCCTGTCAAGTGTTTGGTTGTGAGCAATCCACAGAAAGAAATGTATTAAGAACATAGCAAAAATGTTTAACACATTCAAAAATGGAATGTTATATTTTAATGTAGAATTCTGACAATTCCTGGGTGACAAACGCATCCCATATTCCTTTCGTGACTAGAACATTGGTATAAAACTCCAGTTTTTGGTTAGTTTTGAGGTAGCTGTATTGACAAACAATTTTTATTAGGGGATAAGCATGAACAACACATTGGGTAAAACAAATGTTTTCCGAAGCTAAACCTGTTTTTCACAGACTCCTCTCCTTTTGTTTTAATTTTATGTGAATTTATACCAGCTGCCGCTCTCAATTCAACCTTTGCTGTTTTAGTTTCACTATAAATATTCTAGAAAGTATCTCCTGACATATAGAACTGCTCTGCAGAGAGATTTGCTTTTCCTAGAAGAAGCCACGCCAAATTCTGCATTAGACAGATTACCAGAAAAATAGAGCCTAATTTTCATTTCAGCAGAATTAGGGCCTAAATCTCTGAAAATGAAGCTATGCACACAGACATACTAAGGCCAGGTGTCAAGACAACTCGCCACACATCAAGTCCTGAGGTGAAGCTTAAAAGATTTGCTTTATAAAGACTTCTGCAAAATATATACATCAGTAGTACAGGACAGCTGAAAATGTTGATGAAATTTAAGTTTAACTTTATGTATTATATGAATTAAATTAAAATATCTCTGTTCCTTAAGTTCCTGAAAGGCGAAAGTTACTTTGGAAAGAATCAAATCATTATTTTGCTTCTTTCCGACCTCCCCTCCAAGCCTCCCCCCACCCTTTTCAGATGAGGGTGTTTATACCTGTGTATAGACAAACTTAAAGAAAAGTGACATTTATATTTCTGCTACAAACCTGAAGTTTTTGAGCAAATACTGGGGGGTTCTTTTCTGCTAAGTCAGGATCTAGATATTCAGGCTGATCACATATTGAGGTTTTCTTAGATATCCTATTGAGAAGAGCATCAGCAGAGACAAAGGAGTCTTCAGGAGATGTCTGAAGGGTAAGGAGGATATAGAATAAGCAACAGAGATTTTGCCCAAGTAGTTCAGGCCAAAAGCACATACCTGTCTGCAAATCTTTGATTCCTAGTAATTTCACGCCCCACTGAAGATTACTTTTGAATACATGATTCATAGGTGTAACAGACAAACATCAAGAACAATTCTTCCTAATTTAAAAGCTGAGTAAATTTTCCAAGACTAATGTGAAGTAAGAAATATTAGGACCTCTAAAGCAATGGCTCTCAAACCATGGACCACAGCCCACTCTCGATACTTCTACAAGAGTTTTCAAACAGTTACCATAGGTTTTGTTCATACAATAGCTTATGTTCAGTTCAGGCATCTCTAAGGCTGTCCGAAAGCTTTGAAGACTACCAAAGCCGAGGGGAGCCTCAGCAAGACTCTTTTTACAGTCTTCTGCGGCTTACTGGGGATAAAATAAGTTACGTTCACAATTATAACATGATCAGGATAAATACACAATATCAGGGTGAACAGAATTAGAACGACAAAACCAAGACCTCTGGGATTTGGGTATCCAAGACTCCCTGCAGTGAGAAAAGTATTCAAGCTCATAAAAAATGTTTTGTGAGATGGTATCAACAGCATCGTTAATATAAATTAAGCACAGTATTAAAGTGAGCTGCTTCTTATTTTGACTCCTCAGTAAATATATTGTCATATAGCTTAGCATGCTTAGTGCTGTAGGCATTGTGAAACAAGTTTGCCTGGAAAAGTGGAGGCCTTGAAGGAACCTTCAAGAATTTGAGAACCAATGCTCTGAAGTCTGTATGCAGCGCAGGTTGGAAGCAAGCAAGGGCTCACCACTAATTCAAACCCAACCCAGAGAAGCCACTGAAAAAAGTGATTTAACTGGAAGCTGGAATGAGTTCTAATGATCAAAAAAGTGAATTTTACATTATCAATATCAGATGACAACAACACAGTTAGCAGTTTATACAAAAATGTGAAAGGCACTTGTTCTTTACCAACAAAATTTCGAAATTTCACAGTACATGCAACAGAACAAATCCCTTATTTTATATATAAAATATTTCTTCAAATATTGGGTTAAAGCGCAGTGTAAAAAGGCACTGTGTGAGAAAAAAAGCACTTCAAAGCATCCACTTGGAATAAGTTATTACAAGAACATGTTAAACTACGGCAAGAATTCAGAAAATTCTTCTGAATTCCGTCAGTTCCATCAACCTACCTCCCTCATTTGGGTCCTACCACATGCTGCTACCAAGATCTTTAAGTATCAGGTTGAGTTTCACTCTACTTTCGAGATCCACCTTTGCTACCTATGACACAAGAAACTCCTGCAGGAAAATGATTACCAAACTCTTACAATAAATTACTTACTATTTCAATAGCCTCTGGAGTTGTTCCTAGGGTCATGGGCTCTAGGTCTTTCTGCTTTGACTTGTCAGGTGTCTGTAAGTGTGCCTCTTGGCTGGCAGCTAGGACTCGGGAAGCTGGATGTTGTATTTTCATTCCAGAGGACTGCTGGGCTTCAGGGTCTTCAAAACTTGACCTGGAAAAAGATTGTGTACATGCTTTCAGGGCCTTACAATTCTGCTTCTGGTAACAGGAAGGAAGTCCTCTTCATTACTTTCGTGTGTGTGTGTGTATACATACACACACACACACACACACATTGTTTCAACTCAACTTTATATCATTCTATCTCATAACACTTTGCAGTATTCTTTCAAAGCAATGCACCAGTCATTTAAATAAAGCCAGTTCTATCAGAAATGTTATGCACATTCCTTAAATACTTCTCACTTGCCTTTTTACCCCTTTCTCATTGTGATCTACATCTCTCCCAACAAACAACTTTTACTAACAAGAACAGATGTCCGTAACAAGCAAAATTTTTGGAAGTAAATACAACCCCCACATGCTGTCCTTATGAACTAGACTCCTTGTTCAGAAAATATATCTAGGAAAGACCAAGTGAAAAGTTGTAATTAGGAGATTTCTAGATTGACATGAAAATGACCTCAGTATCTGAGAAGAAAACTGTAAGTAGGAAGCCACAGTCTAGTGAAACAGTTGCCACTGTGACTCTAGACTCTATTTAGTAAGAATATGAAGGAGAAATATACGTCCTTGTATCTTCCCATTATAAAACTTCTGTATCTCTGCCCTCTATTCTCTATCATATGCGTACACAGATGGGAATCTATTTTTAAACAAAGAACGCGGCAACACAGAGGCAGAGGGAGGAAGAATTGCCTGTGTGCATGCTATGATGGTAACCCATTTCCCTGGCATCCTTTTCCACTGCTGAATTTGCTTACCCTGAGCATGGTGTTGTGGAATCAGACAGTCTGATGGGAGGTGATTTGACTGGGCTCTCATGCTGTGCATCAAACATTAGGTATAAAGATTGTTTCTTCGGGGTGCTATCATCCTGCTGGCAACAGGAAAAGAAAGACTCGTTAAGCAACTCAACCGTTCTCCATTAAAGCTAATTCAGGTCACTGAAGCTTTAAGTGACCAAATGACTTGACAGACAACTAGTATTATAGAACTGTAATATAGTCTATGCTGATATTGAGATAATCTCTTTAAGGAAAAAAACATTAAAAAACAAAACCTAAACAGTTCACTCTTTGTAATGGCTCTTCTTCTCCAACTTTGGGGTTAATCTGATTTCTGGTCCTGTCAGACAGGAGGCATCCCTTGACTGAAAGCGTTACTAAAATATTCATTGAAACCAATGTTATTCTCATCAGTTTAAGTACCTGACATACATGCTTGATTTTTCTAACTTCCCCTGTGGATATACCCCCACTGGATCCAGCCAAGCTATCAAATCCATGAATTAAAAAGAAGGCAAAACAACTGATAATGTATAGTACTGCATTCCATATTTCACATTCATTCTGGATTCTCTGCTGATTCCCTCCATCTTCTTAAAAGTTTTACTCGCAGTTTCTTAAAATAGTTCAATAGTTGCTGTAGACAGCTTTGTACTCTACACTGCTGGAAATACTGATTTGCTCTTAATCTCCAGAAAGAACTACTATGATGCTAGCTTAAAAATAAAATGATGAAATGGAACGAGCTCTACAGGATATAGGAAAACAAAGCACATGCAATTTACCCCAGTTATGCCAATTTAAAGGAACTGGTTTTGCAAATCTGCTGCAGGTACGTTGTAATTAGTTTAAGGGGTAGTGAGGCTGATGGCATTATCAGGATAGCATATTATGACAAGGGAATGCAAATGAATGGAAATGGAAGTGAGAACTTACAGGCACAGAGGAGCCTATTTTCTCCATATATTCTATTTCATATGAGTTGCCATATTCCAATTCTGCAACAGAAACAAAAAAGAGCTATTAAATACATGCCACGAAATGATTTTTGCATAAGTAAATGAGATCTCTTCTCATTTACAAGGGCCACCTCCATTCTGCTCAATACTTTTCTATGAGGTATTGATAGAATATACAGAGAGAAAGCAGAAGTGGCACTGATTTTCACTGATTTTCAAGAATGAACCTATGACACATTTCAGGCAAATTCATTTGCCTGAAAAATTTCAGCCTTATCAATTTGCACAAGAGTCTGCCCCAGGGGCCAGAAAATTAATAAAGATTCAGAGCGCTTTCAGAGCACAGATAACTTTACTCTGTCATGTTACCTTATCACAGAAAACACTTTTTTCAGTAATTGGTAATGCTGATACCAGTTTCCTTTAATGTACACAAAAAGATTTTAAAAGCTGTTGAGAAATGAAGTAATTTCTATTTTTTAATGTTTATCACACAGTTCTCAATTAAGAAGGACTACTGTGGTATCACTTAAAACAAAAGATACATAAATACCTGTATGCTCATTGAACAAGGGGTGACACAACAGCCCAGCTTACCGAGCTGTTTTCACATTTTAGTTACAGAGGAAAAGCCTAAGGTGGGAAGATTTACGAAGAACCCTAAATCTAAACCCTAATAAAAATGCAAATTTTTACTGCTTCTCTACTTCTAATCTCCTAATTACACTGGAGAGAAAAACCAGTATTTCTTTCTAATCCGTGGTCACCCAGTAGTGAGCTGATACAGAGGCAGACAGATAAAACACAGCAAAATGGAAAAGAGAGCATACCTTCCTGCACCCAAATAAAAGCAAAGACTTCATTCAATGACACCTTAATTTAAAAATTAAAAACATCATTAATTTGTCCTAATGCTGTGTTTTACTCTGTTTCCATGAGTTAATTCAATAAACCACTTGTATAATTTCATTTCCATTATATGTAAGTTCTAATGAATGGCACAGTAGCATTTACATTATGATAAAAGCAGGTGCTAAAATTCTTCTAGACTTAGGAAGCTTTTGAAAAGTAGGGCTTGTATCAGGAAGACGGTAACCATTATTAAAACATTTGTTCTTTAAAAACAAACCAACCCTAAGGATAATCTCGTATCTGTTTTGTTTAAAAAAAAAGTTTCAAAGGGTGCAATGTGAGTTTACAATGCTCAAAAATTTTTTATAATAAAAAGCAACACAGCGTACAAGCACTGTAATTCCACAAGTCTATGTATTTTGTCAAACAACCACTGAAGAGGAACAGCCACAAACTCTCAGTACCTGACATGTGGGAGATATTAATAGTAAAATGTCTAAGTGAGGAGAATGCTATAATAGCAGGCTCCTCACATTGAAATTGCTAGCACCATACGTTTTAATGGTAATAGGGAGCCAGGCAAGATGGACAACCTCCTGCTATCAGATACAAGCGTCTTCCTAGTGAAAACAGAAACAAAACTGGAACAATGGGATTCAAACCACCTCCTGGATGCAGCATTGCAGGAAAAAGCATGAAATACCAGATAACAGCATCCAGTGTTTAGTAACTGCCTTTCCGTATTTCATTTATCCACACATAGCCCAGTGAGGTGCACCACGAATGTTTATGGGGCAGCTTGATGACCCCAGAGAGCAATCAGCGAGGGAGCGTACAAGCACGCTCACGGGCAGGAGACGTACCGGCACTGTCCTCTGCTGGCACAGCCGGCAGTGATCTTCCACCTGCCTTGCAGGGCTTTGCAACTGCAATCCAAACTGACTTTTGGGACAGCGCGTATTTAAGTTTACTGATTTAAAAAAGGCAGAACGCAGATGGAAATACTTCGACTAGAAACAAAGGGAATAATGTGGCTCGCTAAACGCAGTTTGTTTCATCTCATTGCTCTCAGAAGTTTCCAGCATAATTAGATACTATCTCCTCTCCTAGGTATCTCCTCTAAGACATCATCTCCCCTCTGAAATCTTAGTCTCCTGTTATCTCTATGCATTCAAAATCTACAAATGCCCAGGATATCCCATAAAGTAAGATAATTATCTTTTATAAATACATATGACAGACTTACTAAGTGATGTCCTCCACCTCCTCCCACAAATAGCTGCAAGATTACGTCAGAATTTTCTGCTAATAATTACTGCTTATTTCTGGTCTGTGCAACACGGAAATGGCAGCAGTTATAAGCAGCACATGCAACAGATGAGAGCTGGATGTATTGGCTGACTCAGTAGTTGAGCTGTATCTGTACAAAAGCTGTGTTAGGTTACAGGATACTCATACTAGTATCTGGGAGGGGTAAAAATATTCACACTGAGAAACAGCCCTGGAATTACTAAAAAATTTCTCAACACCGCAGGAGCAAGACTGTCAAGGGAAAAAAATTATTATTTTTAAGAGACCTGAAAAGCGGATGCATTGTTGATTATAATTAGCATGTAATCTGAAACTCCAACTACACCATGCAGCACACATGAGACAAGACAATTAGCATTTAATTAGGAGCTTTGCTCACTTTCTTCTACCCACTTTGATAGTTAAAATGATTGCCTTAGAGTATCTCTCACTATTCTTTTGTTCCACTTCCTTCCATTTAATTTCCATTTTCCCAGATTTGGGGAGCTTATTTTCTAAAAAATATTTCTTTAAAAAGATTTTTTTTTAATAAAAATGAAGTGAAGCCAATATCTAAAATTTATAACTTGATAATAAAGCCAAACGGATTTATCCAGACTGAAATACTTATCTGAACGGAAGACTCAACAGATTTCCAAAAAGCCCAGGCCACACAAACATAGAAGCACGTGCATGTGAACACATGCAGTGCCACTGTGATTATTCATGCCTTTTAATGTCAAACATGTTTGACCTAAAAGCTTAGCGGTTCTTAATTAGGCAAAAACTCCTCAGGCCCAGTCTAAAATGGCATAAAGTAGCTTTAATGGTAGACTGGGACACGGTTTGAAAGGTTAGGGGGAAAAAAAAAAATTCTGATCAAGAAGAAAAAGTTTAAGCCAAGTTAAACTCATACATTCTTCCCACCCACAAAGCTGAAAATCTGCCCTTGGAGCAGATGTTACAAAGCAGTATTCCCTCTGGTAACCCCAAGGAAGGCAACATGCAAATTTTCTGTCTCTTCCACATTTCACAGACCTGGAATGACAGTTCTCTTAACAGAAACTTCCAGCTTTAGCTCACAACTGACAGGAAAAATCTTAATAAGCTTATCTAGAACGAAATTTTATCTGGCACATGAACGGTAACTATCTTACGCAGGGAATATCTGGACATTTTTATGCATAAAGATACCTGGATCCTACGAACCTGGAGGAGAGATGGCATGTTAAGGGTCTTAATGCAATACACAAACTTTGAGCAGAATTTTAACCTGGGACCTTCTCCCATTCAGGTTAGAGGAACAGGTTCAGGCAAAATCAGTAGTTCAGTGACTCTGGATCCGAGAGCACTAACTGAGCGTGGTATCAGACCCCAGTCTCCCATGAAGGCACAGAGAGAACAGGTAGCACACACAGAAGAACAGAGCATGTCTATAATTAACCATATAAAGGAAGGAAAAGCCCTTCTCTGAAGGCCCCTTTCATTTTCCTTTAAGCCTTCTCTCTACTCTTTCTTGAAAACTCAAGGTGGGACTATGGGGGTTATACATTCAGCTCCCCATAATTGCCAAGTCCCCCAGACTGGTCCAAAGAGCATCGTTTTTTAGGGTTCCCAAATAATACAGTTCGCATTCAGCAAAGTATATGCCAATATCCTCGAATGAACAAAAACCCCTCTCTCAATAAATACAAAACATTAGGTGGATGCAGATAGTCGTTTATAAAGCATACCCTCTGTAGGAGAGCTGAATTTAGTCTCATTAACAAATGTAGACAGATCAGATGGTTGCGGGTAATCCTGTTTATCCGTGTTCAGGTCCACAGTCATGCAGGTCCATTTCTGACTGGTCACCGAAGACGCCAGTTTCTCCTCATCTGTCGCATGAACCACTGTGGATATGACGGGAGGTGTTTCTGGAGTAGGCAGTGGAGTGGGATCCTGCAGAAAACAAGCGCCAATTAGTTCTATTATCTTTCATTAACACGTTGAATAGTCAACTCCCTAAATTCCTCCGCAAGACCACAGTCATCTTTTTAATTCCATGCTCTTTACTGCAGCTCTGTATAAAATACTTAATGAAAAATATTGAAGTACTTCATTTAGAACTCTACTAGCAGCGTTTTCCTAGTATAACTAAACTCTTTGATGATAAACACTCGCATTGCAAAGCTGCTTTGAGAACAAGGAAGAAAGAAAATCCAGACCCGTTTAAATCTGTTAGGCACTTGACATAAGTGGCACACATCACCCACGACTGAAGTCTTTGACTACCAAAACTGACTTTTTAGGCTTCCCTCATGGGAGCAAGCCTTCCTACGTCTGCGAGGTCATGAACCCTTTCTTCCTTTCTAGGCTGTCAAGCAGCATAAATAAAAGGGTAGGATGGGTAACAGGAAGACAAACAGCGGCATGGAAGGAGCTGTGCCACATCAAAGCACTTAGGCCTTTGTAGGCAGAACAGCTTTTGTTAACTTCTCTTCCAAGAAAACCACCTGCCGGCAGTTTACAAGAAGGAATAAAACCATCCAAGCACATGTTCCTAGTAGATCAGCCCACTTGTTTTATTTCTATTTCCCTTCCAGCCCACCAGTTCGATGCATTTAGTTTCTTACTTTCTAATCTAAAAATCCAGGATGTATAGTTACGTTTAGTTTTTCAGACAACTGACTGAAGATATTTACTGATATTGTCGCTCCATTGTAACATAGGACTCTCCAAAGTACATACACTAATAGTCTAACTGGAATTCCCAGAGCAAATATACATTGTACACGTGCTTCTAGAGACCAAAAGTTTAGTATCTTATGATTATAGCCCAGTGTGCTATACTTGAACACTAATATGCTTATATTCTTTACAAACCCCTCTTCTATTATTAAATATACAATTCTACACTTAAATAAATCAAATTTCCCTTTTTTGCCCCTACAAGAACACAAATTATGTGCATCAAAATAAGGCAGTACTTTACCTGAGAAGGAGGATCAGATAGTGGGGATCTTTTTGGTGATTTTTTCACCCTAAATGTATCACTGAAAATAAAGTTAGAACAGTTAATATGGTAATACCAGCAAGAATCAGGTCATTTCACACTTAGCAAGAGACAGCCACAGACAATGCAACCTCTGTAAGCCCTTCTGCTTGAAAATCCCATCCATTAGGCAGCAGCACCACAGGGAAACATGCCATAGGTACATATTCTTGTCATGCACTTGGAACAGGCCTCAATTCCCCAAAAGCTGAGAAATGCAGGATTGCCATATTTCTTATTGCCAACTACCGACACATTTACGGAACGGAGTTGCTGCTCGATCGCAATTCAAATCCCTGCTCCACCACAGACATCCTCAGCGGCCTTAAGCAAATTATTTAGCTTCTGTCTGCTTCAGTTTCCCATTTGAAAATTAGGTCTAAAACACACCTTCAGATGAGAATTAAAACTGTGATAAACTTGGGCAGTAAGCTGCAATGACCCCATAAATCATTAAGAAAAAAACTGGTATGCTTTGGATGAACTACATAAAAACAGCTGAGGCAGATGCTGTTCCCAAGATGCCAGAACAAAGTTCTGTCGTTACAAATGTGCACAACGGACCCCCTCCCTCTTTAAAACAAATATAACAGCAAATATGGCAATTCTGCTTCCAGTTCCCCTGACAGCTCACAGTGCAGACTGGGAGCACGGACACTGTAGCCCTTCAAAATCCCACAGGTTTCAATCAGGCAAAAGGAATGAAGAATAAACATTATGTCTTGGTGTATAATTATGAATGTTGCCTTTATGTTTATTCACAATTGGTTAAAAATATTTTCTAACAAGGAAATAAACCAATTATCCACCTGTTCTCTTGATGCGTATTGCCAGAGTTATTCAAACACATTTTTGCTACTAACTAGAAGAGGGAGAAAAATATCATACCAAACTTGCTAATAAAGACTTAATGTTTGAACTGAGATGCATTAGCAAAAATTAACTGCCCACCAGCTTATCCCTGATCAATGAATGGCAAGATCAACATTAGAAATTATAATGGTGGGTTTCAATCGGTTCAGGGTAAATCAATACCACATCTAGAGGGGAAAATAAATTGGACAGCTGAATATCGCTGTGTTCGATGCTACTAATTATCTAGTTATGATGCTAGAAGTAGTTAGGATAACTTATTCCTTTAAGAAGGAGAAACACTTTATGCAGTATTTACAAAAAACTGATTGTACAATGTTGTTGTACAACAGTAGAGATGTTCATATTTTAGCTCAAGGATACAAAATCTATATAGATTTTAAAAGAGGATCTTCTTTAATAGGCAAACAGATAACAAGGCAATAGATTCCTCAAACTCATTCACAGCAAGGCATCTTACTTAAAATAGCTTTCATATGTGCCAGTGAAGTGAAATAGTTAACATAAAAGCTTCATGCTGCATAATAACTGATCATGCTGCAAAATAAATGAGTAAAATTAAAAAGCCCATAAATCAAAGAGGAAACTTGAATTGTTAGCTTAGAATTACTTACAACAGAGAACATACAGACATCACATCTTCTACCATCCTAAGACAAATAAGACAAAGAAAAGAGAGACCGACAGAAGGAACTGACAAAAAAGATAAACCTACAAATACTCTGTTAATGTTAATGTGTTAAGGCAATCTGATCATGCATATTTTCTACCTGTATAATCTTAACACCTACTTTTTATTGTGAAACACATGGGGAGAAAAACATATTCATCAAGTCCTTTAACGTTTTCAAATTTTATGTTATGCTTTTCACATGCTTTCATCTTACAAAACACATTTTTCAAAGCTGAGGCCTCCAAGTTGAGTTCCTATCAACATACTAAGCATCTTTGCCTTCCCTTAACGGTAGCCACCTGCTTTTTTTTCAAAACACAGTATTTGTTGTTATATGGGATGTAAAACTGTTCTTCAATGGCAGCTAAGCTTAAGGAAAGAGTACAGTTATGCAGGGTTTTTTCAAGTCTGCTGATTTGTTACGACAGTACAGAAAAAGCTACTTGACCATTTCAAATAATTTACCTAAGTCAAGAAAGAAAATGACATTTCTTTAAATCTGATCTATTTTGGCTCTCACTGAAACCTAACTTTGTGTTCTGATAAAACAAATGGATTGCCCCCAAAACAGAAGCAAACCTTGCCAAACAATTAAGGCTAAGAAAAGTTTTCATCTACTTATAAGCTTGGCAGCTTCCGCTCGGCAATTCTCATGTGCAATGCTCTTGAAAGCTGGCACCTTGCGTTTCTAAAACACAGCCTCCAATCATCCAACAGTTTCGAGAGCAATGTCTATTCTATACAAGCCACCTATTTTCATTCATCACCATAAGCAGGCACTCGGGAGGCATCCCCTGCTCTTTGTTCAGTATCAGCTGAGCGAGATGATCTATCTCAAAACAGCTCAGCACTTAGGTATACGACCAGAGAGTAATTTGTGTCGAGCTGACACCTCTTCTAAAAATCTCATCTCTTCACATGGAGGTCAACACTTAGACTGCTGCAGGTTTCATTCCAGAGTAAAACCTGATTATTTTTATTGATTTAACACAGGTAAGACCCAGCATATGGCACAGATTCAAAGCAGTACAGGCTTAGCAATGGCTTAAACTCATGCCTGGCTTCTTCACCTCCCATAGGTCTAATCTAGAAATCGCTGTCTTTCCATATAAGGAACACATTTTCAAACTGGTCCATATAGTTGTATTTTTGCACCCCTCAATAGTGCTAATAAAAACCCCTGGCTTCGCAAAATGATCCATTATTTCGGATTTATAAGTCCTGAGGATATTACAGTATCATTTCTGAATTCAAACGCCTTCAAGCACCCCTTGCAGCTGAAGCATCTTGCACTGCCTTCTCTCTCCCGTCCCACCAAGACGGCAGCACCAAGAAGGGTCCTACACCCAGTCTCCCTGCCTGGCCAGGGGTTCTCCTGCACTGGACCCCACCGAGGAGTCACCCCGAGGGCCCTTTTTGTGGAGAGGAGAGACCAGAGACAGGCAGAGACAAATAGAGCCACTGCTTCCCCTGGCATCCCCCAACAAGCCTTAGGCTAATTTTCTTCTACGAAGTATTACGGCTCCAGGCTGCACTGTGTATTAATATGCAGATTCTCTTCTTTGTTAGAAACCACTAGCAAAAGTAGGTTACGGGGCTGCAGCGAGCAGACACATAACGCAACGCAGTGAGAGCAGTCCCAGGCAAGGGCTGGGAATTCCTGCAGACCTCCTGACCCAAGAACCTGTAAGCCCTGCTCTAAGGGGGTTTCACTTCTTCCATCGTGATAAAGAGCAGCAGTGAACTTTGTGACTGTAGGACAGGGCCTTCCCGCGATGGATTTTCCCAAGGATGGATGTGGGTTAGCAAACTCTTTGTAAACTCACGTTGCCCCTAAATTAACAACTTTGGAATTGATTCTAATATTCACAGCAGATGGGTGGACCCAAGAGGTTTACACTGGGGGTCTGTCAAGTCCCCTGCAGCTACTGGAAGACACAAGGAAACTCTGGCTGGCTGCAAATATCAGACTTAAGGATCTGGTGATATTAAAATTCCCCTCTATCCCTCCGCACTTCCCCAGTAAGATTCAAATTGTTCCTCTACTGCAGTCAGACTTTTAAGTCTTCTTGTTTTGGACAAAACCAGTTTGGACTGTAGCCTCGGAAAATGCGTTAGCACGCATCTTAACTCCCATCTTAAATTCCCTGAAATTTCAAGCATACCTCTAAAACAAGCAACATCAGCGCAACACAAACTCAACTCAACTATACAGTGGTCTATAATTTTCATAAGTCAGAAACGCCCCTAAAAAGAAAAAATGGCACAAGCTTCCTCAAATCTGGCAAGGGAAGTGAATGCGATGTTTAGAGGGTAGCAGGCTTCTCAGAAAAAACTGAGCAATCTCCACCTCACCCCGTAAAGGAGGTCATTTTTTATACTGCTTTACATTAACCATGTTATCTTCAGATTGGTTATAATTTTGTAATTATAAGTCACAGTTTTGTTAGTTAGCTGAAAAATTATAAAGGGACATGCAGTGAGATACTTTCTTATAGATACACACAGGATACCAATTTCAGACCAATGGGATATAAACTTACTGATTACCAACTCAAAATCACCATGTCTGAACGGGTAAGATAACATGCACACCAGCAAGTTAACCATGGAATCAACGCAACTAGCCATTGAAATCATTAACCAAATATCTAGATAGAACAAGCTAGAGAATTTATCCTGCAATTTGTCAATTGTGTCTAAAAAATGGGTATTTCCCTAACACGTAGGAGTCCATAAGATTTTAACCCTTCTGCAGAACTGTAAGCTCTTTCACAGGAAAGAAATTTTTCACGTTTTTTAGTCTTGTATTTAAAAATACATATTTCAATACAGCACTCTTCTGTTTCAGATATTTTCTTTTATATTCTGTAAGTCAGTAGATAAAACCATCTTCCTGCTGTGTGCAACAGGAGATTTGTCGCTGCCTTGCTATTTCATGTCCCACTCTCAAAACTGATATATCACAAAATAGTCTTTACTGGTGTGAATACTTTGATCAGCTTAAACAGTATGAAATTCCCAAGATGAGGTCACAGAAAATTTGCCACAAAATTGATAAAATTTGGACTTAATCAGATTCAAAGCTACACTGAGCCCCAAAACTTCAAAAATCCAATTGCAGTCCAGTGTCCTAATCTGGCTTGATTTAGCCCTGGTTCTCCCCTTCAGTCTGGAAACATCAAGCTATTGAGGAAACAGACTGAGGGAGAGCACGTATAGACCCTCGGCACGAGTCCAGTTGTGAGGCTACCAACACCCAATGGCATCTTCCTTTCTCTATTCAAATATAAACCGGGTGTAACTGTGCTAAGGGGTAGGAACGTGCTGCTTCTAATCTAGAAACACCTGTGCCCTTTAACTTACGTTTTTAGTGGCGTCTTTTTCTTTTTTGCAGGTTTATTCAAGTTGTCTCCTTCAGTTCCGTTTGTTTCATTGGCACTGGCTGGTATCTCAAAGGAAGCTGGAGATTTAGAGGGTGAGCTGGCTATCTTAGAAGACGACTTGAAAGGGTCAATAGAGTCCTCGCACATGTCTGGCTCAAAACTGTATGTTTGTTGAGGCAGTTTGGGCGATTCTTGCATTTTTGTACTAGATGAGAACGGGTTAAAATTGGGATCATCCCACTTGTCAATATCAAAAGTGTAAGAGCCTTTTGTAATAGGGATTTCGTTTGGATCAGTGGGTGACTTGGTCGGTGTGGTTGGAGCATTGTCAAGCTTTTCCACTGACTTTTTAGTCTTTGGCCTCCGTAATGGCATTTTAGCACCAGGCTTTTTACCTGCTTTTTTGGGAGGCGGAGTACCCTCCTGCTGGTCTTCACTCACCCCTTTTTCTTCAGAATAATCAAACTCCAGCCTCACCGCAATGCCTTTGACCGGAGGGTCTTCTTGTCCTCCAGTGTCAGGCGGAGTCACCTCCACAGCCTCTGGTGCCGTTGTAAGAGGTAGCGTTTTCTTATTGGCAGGGGGAGAGTTTTGTACTTTGCTGCCTCCAGTGCTAAATGCACTAATCCCTTCAAAACTGTCTGGATCCAAAGGGTAGGATCCTTCAGGCACAGGCGGGGCCTCCTGTTTCTCAGCAGAGATTTTAGAAGGTTCAGTACATTCGGGCTTTACAGAGTCAGCCTTTGCTTCAGATACCGGTTTATCCTCACCTGGGGCACAAGCTGCTTGGCCAAGGTCAGACGGTTCTTGTGGTGTTTCCTTCACTGGTGGAGCATCCAGAGATTTTTTTGCTGACTGCTTCTTTTTTAAGGAAGCTGGTCTGGATTTCTTTGTTCTCTTAAGAGTACTAGAAGCACTACTGGAACCAGTACCGTACGCATCTGCTGCCGGTGCTAATGTTTCACTATTACCAAGATAAGATGCTCCATCAAAATCACTTGCTTGCAAGCTAAGAGATCGAGACAATGTAGATTTGGAAACTGGGACTGAATCAGTAGATTTTCTTCGTACATTCGCTTTGGGATCACGATTCTTCGGTTCTGGAGAGCTCGGCCCTAAGGCATGGAGAGAATCAACCAACTCAATGTTATCGAAGTCCAAGTTGTAAGTTCCACTGCTGGCTATTGGCTTGTCCTCATCGAAGACAGTGGAAAAAGAATGGGAAGGGGGACGGAAAGGGCTTTCTTCAACTGATTCACTGTGTGACACATCAGTTACGGGTACAGTTTCTGAACATAATCCTGTGGGAACAAACAGAAAACTCTGTGAATTTTAAACACATTTTTAAAACTGGAGCTTAATAATTTTTTCTATAATCTAATACTACTACAAGTAAAAAAAAAAGGTTAAAATCATACAAATGGACTAAGCAATGATTAAAGGACATACAAACCAAAGTGACATTTCTAATATATGAACTAGATTAGGGAGGAAAAAAAAGTTCTGTTCTCACCAGAAAAGGATTCAAGGCAAGTTTCATGAAAACACAAAATACGTATTTGCAATAGCCTCTAGAGCATCTCTTCTAAACTAATTATCACTTAGTTAAAGAGATGGATATTACCATAATGTGCTAACTATGCCAAACACCAGAAAAACTGAACATCGAGCACTTTATTACTCCTGTTTTCTACTGTTATAAAGAGTTCACAGAATTGTGTCGGAGCTCTGATGCAGTAAATTCCCTGTAAATTGACTGGTGCTTTAGCAATTACATGTTGATCTTAAGTTTTGTTTCCCATGTGCTATTTTTACCAATTTCCCAGAGGAAGATGGCTTCCCCTCCACAACCATCAATGCTGCCCCTCCCTCTGCCCCAAGCAGTCAATACACTCCACTTTGACCTCGTAATTCCAAGTTTATAACGAGGCATGAATCACTGAGAATTTCCTATGAAATAAATTATGGTAAAGGTAAGAAAATTAGTCAATTAGAGTACCGTACAAATATTCTCAGTTGAAAATCTTCCTTAAAAAAGATCGCTAGAAGCTCTCTACAAATTATTCAAAAGAGATTTCGCAAAGTGTAGTTCTAATTCATCGATGAAAAGAAAATTTATAGAGAAAATTGTATGCTAAAACATACAATACTGTTAAACAGAGCAGCTTTTCATTGTAATTAAAGATTTGCTTATTGAACGGAATCCTAGAAAAGATTTCTAGAAGTCTCTTGACTCAGGATATAACAACTATATTGGACAAAGTAGAAAAACATACAGTGCATATAAAAAAAAACCCAGAAAATATATAGGTAGGAAAGGATTAAGATGATGGTCCGTTCTGCCTTCCAGTTCGTAAAAGTTCATTACTAAAACGTTTTACAAATTCTGGATATGGTTTGTTCCTGCTGCCATTGTACTGCTCCCCATCTGAATGTAACATAGCCACCTCTGCCTACGCGCGCGTATCCCAGTCAGGGTATCGGAGACCTGGGAAATCTCTCTCCAGCTCACAGCTCAAGCTGGGGTGAGCCAGCGGCTCTGAGCTCCCACTGGTACGTGCTGGAGCAAAACGCCCCCGTGTTTCCTATTGAAGCAATGCAGCGTTCTTCATGTTGTCACTTTTTTTTTAATCACGCAACTAAAAACAGTCAAACAAAAAGGAATGCTTTGCTCACCCTCAAATGATTTCAGGGAAATTTCTACATATCTTTTTCATTCCAATCTTGACATGTTTTGCAAAATAATTCCCAATTTGCCCAGCTACATTCATTAACATTGTTCATAAAAGCAACACAGACAATCAATAATTACTTTTAGTCAGAAGCTATGAATGGATTAAGAACAGGAAAAAACATTTTTCCTTTGTTTCAGGGGAAATTATATGTCTGCATAGAGGTTACAAGAATTATTATTTATGGATGTAGAGGACAGAAAGGATCTAAGGAAATTGGACACATTTGCCGAAGTAGTACCTTAGAGTAGCATCATGTATTTCCAGAGATTGTCAAAGGAATGACAGCTACACAGTTTCTCTTTTAAGACTGCGGAAGTAGTTACATCTCTTAAAATAATATTTTAATGTGTTTTTCTGCTAAATGAATGCTAATTACGTGGCAGTACTTCAGCACAGTTTATTTTTCTCCTTCATCTCCACTGGGTTGGGCTTGGTTTCAGCCTGGCTGAGAGGTCATTAATTAGACTTGATTTGCCAGCTGAGCTGGTGCTCACTTCACACACACATCACTTTCTGACACTGATGGGTCTTCTGTTAAGGGGACTCAAAGAGTGCCATAAAACTCCAGCATTAGACTAACCTGCCCATTTTACACTGAAGCAGGAAGGGAAGACACTTGATGGGAATATGTTACAATAAACACTGGCGTAGCTCTAATATGTCAGCAGAGTACAAATGTAGGTCAGCATGAAATAAAAGGGGGATCTGAACAAGAAGTCGTCTGCAATTACACATTGTTTCTCATTCCAGCGTGCGCCAGGGGCCTCAACAGGATTGAGGCCCCTTGTTCAAAGTCAGTACAAACATGCATTTAAACAAAATGAAATAAAATAAAATAAACCAATGCCCTGCAGGACTTGGACTGTAAATAACAGGCATGGTAGAGCTGAGGTTAGGGATGCATCACAGCAGCAAAGGAGCATACAAGGCTTTCCAGCTACTCAAAGCAAAACAGCATTCAAATTTGGTGTGCTCCACACAGTGCAGAGCTTTAATCCTCTTTAATTGCTTATTTCACAACTTCCTCCTAATCAAATCCTTTACGTAGAGTATAGATTTCTGCAGAGTGTCACTCGATTCGCTACTGTGATATTTTTATTGTTTCTTTATGAAACAATATGTGAAACTGTCTCAGAAAACATGGCTTTTGGTAGAAGTGAAATGCTGCTGTTAGACTCTTCTGGCATTACAACAGAGTTGGCTCAGTACTAGTAACAGCAGAAATGCTGGAGAGGAAGATATGAACAGTACTCACTATCGCAAAACAGCACGGCTTTATTACTACAGAGAGATATAAAGACCATTCTTTCCCGACATTAACAGCCTATTCAGAGAGCAGTGCCATTTGTCCTTTTACATCACAGAATTAAGCAAATCAGTATTACTAATTACAGAATTCTATTAAAATGCAATTTGATCGCAAAGGAACATACTACAACACAAGCTATAAAAATTAAGGCAGGACTTGCCCTAGAGAGAGGCCAGCACAAGGTTTTAAATAAGGTTTACACCTTTTATTGGTGCTGACAGTCTCCCACAATTTATACTGGTAAGAGCTGCCCACGTGGAGATGGTAAGTTTTATAATAAAGCATTCCAAGAACAACTTAAGTTGCCATAAAAAACAGGCAATCCCCCCAAAAAACCCTCCATTTCATTCATTAAAAAAGAAGGTCCAAGTTCTGCTCCTTCCACAAGGAAATTTCTCTGATTTCAGAGAATTTTTGCCTGGATCAGGTATGAAAAACAAAAACCATCCCAAAACCAAAAACAACAACAAAAGACCCCAGACTTCTTGTATCCAGGTGATGAGACCTCTCCCTGAGAGCTGCATGACATGTTTAATGCTTGGCATTTTCACCTGTCACCTATTAAGGCAGAAGCAGAAGTTGCTAGAAAGGTATTATAAGACTGTTTGCATTAATAAACAAAACAAATTTCTGTTGTTAGTATCAACGAAAGGGAATTAAAAAAAATCAAAAAACTTTTCTAGACAACTACAGAAATCTTCTTCTTGTACAGTATAAAATACTTAGATTTTAATAGCACTTCAGATGCCAGTAAAGCTTCAATGTCCCTCAAGAGCAGCGAGGTAGTCCCATACCTCACCTAACTCAGCCTTCTTTAAATAAAGATCCATAAATGGTCTGAACAGTAACAAATCCCATGCATGTGCTCCGAACTGTCCACTGATGAGGATATAAAATTTCTACGACATAGCTACCACTGCTTTACATTGAATGTGAAAGGATAGGAGGCATTCGTAGGTTTAGAGCAGGACTGGTATGAGGATTTACATCTGACAGCCTATCTTTATACAGCCTTAGGAAAGAAATGCAGAAACTCGGTGGCAGTAGTTGCACAAGGAGCTACAGAAGTAGCCAAAGCAAGGGCAGACTTGTTTCATTTTGCTGCAGTATCACTGTTCTCTTCCTCACCTGCGGAGCTCTCCGTGCCTTCCCGGCTCTGAGCACTGCGGTACCAGCGGGACAGGATGCGGCACCCCGGAGCATCCCCTACCACAGCGCAGGTACTGCGCTCTCCCCGGACGTGTTCACAAAAAGAAACATTTCCAAAAGCTTTGGAACCTCAGATTTGTTTTAAAGATATTTTAAAGAAGAAAATGAAATATCTGCACCAGCTATGAGCTTATTGAATCTAAATCTGAACTATTTCTTTATGAATAATGAAAATATATTAAGGAGTTAGAACATATAACATATACCTACTTCTAGGTATTTTTAAATATTTTTCCCTTTAAATTACAACGAATTCTTCTAGAGGGGGAGCTGCACTGTGCACTAGGACAGTTGAGCATTTTTTCTTTGTTGATGTATCTCTAAAATAGGGGGAAACCCAACAGGCTGAAAATAGAAGGCCTTAACACCGCTGAGCTGGAAACAAAATGAAACACTATTTTGAAAGGCTTAGAAACAAAATTTAACCAGTTCTAATAAAGCCTTTCAAAATAGTGTTTCATTTTGTTTCCAGCTCAGCGGTGTTAAGGCCTTCTATTTTCAGCGTGGGTTTCCAAATGGAAGAAATTAAAATTCTAGTTGTGTTTTCTAGAGAAAAACAAACAAAGAGAAACCCTTGGAAAATACATATAGCATGCACCCATATACTCCATTAAAATGAAATAACTCAGGAGACAAGTGCACTTTCCCTATAGCATATAGACAACAATAATTTAAAATACTACCAAAATAATTTAAAAAAAAAAAAAAAAAAAAAGCACCCTCAAAGTCATTTCCCTTGAGCGTATAACCCACATTCCCCACAACAAACAAAGCATTTACGGAGGAATGGAAGGGCTCGTTAGTGACACTTTCTGGGGTTCAGAGGTAGTTTCCATACGTGCTCTGTTACTTCTCTTCCCCTCCAGACTCGCCCGCAGACTGACTCCCCTCTTCTGCTCTGCTGCTGATGGACTGGAGCCATGCAGCAGGTTTTACCCCACCAGGAGCTGGCACAAACCCAGGATGAGTCTAGCTATATTTCACTTTCATCATATTTATTAAGCTAGCGTTGAAGTCAACCTAATTAAAAACTCTCCTCTTGGCTTTCCAGCAGTGGGGTCCAGCTGTTGCGCTAATGATATCATGCAGCATAACTGCAACCGTCTGCATAAGTAATTATTGTCAGATATAGATGAAATAATCCTTTAAAAAACTTACTATGCTTCCTCCTTCCACCCAAGCACACGCTCTGTCACCAACCTCATGCAGAAGACAAAGCCATGCAGCTGGTGAACCAGAAACCCAGCTGGACGTCGTTGCCTCTCCCTGTGTGTGCGCCAGGCTCTCCAGTTGCCCGTATTCCTTACTCCTCTTTTATTGAAACCTATTTATTTAGCTGTATGGTACCAACGAGGAACTCTGCTTCAACTGCCCCTGACCCCCGAGGAAGGGGCTCATTCTCTTTGTGTGCAGCCACATGCATAACCTATGAGGTAAGTAAACTACAAGATAACTGTTACTCAAGTGGTTTATAAAGTACAAAACATTTAACTGTTTGCATTTCTGAAGAAGCATGCAAACACCTAAGCTATGGTCTTAGTATTATTAATTTCTTCTAAAGATTTCCAAAACAGATTAATGCTTTGTGTTGCCCTCCTACATTTGAATTTTTTCTGCATTACACATCTTCCTCCCCTCACATAAATTACCCTGTTGTATAACTTCATTTTGCATAATTTTGGAATGCTGAACATGGCTCTGTTAGTTTGTGGTAACTTGCCTCCCATGGACAAATCTTATTTGCAAATGAAATGTTTTCATCTCTGCCATCCAATGGCCTTCAATATTGAGTTCACACTGGCTGTGAATAGATATATTCAGTTTCCCACCTTACTTCAGAAACATCTGAAAGAAAGGAGGGGGAGATCTGGGAGGCAGAGAAAAAAGAATCACGTGTGCCAGGGAAGCACATGTGTAATCAAGGGTTTGAAGATAATCTATTGCAGTAATTAAAAACACACTCCAATCCTGTTTAGCATATGTGTTCTTTTGTTCTCTCAGCACTTATTTTGTAATCATTAGATTACAAAAGATTAGAAAAAGGGAAGAAGATGGAGAATGAGTAATGTTTGCTACAATGAAGAGGGAACTCTAACAGCACAAAAGAAAAAGTGTCAGATGTCTCAGTATTTCATTTTTATTTTGTGGAATCAGTTTGCTGAACATCTTTCTAGCTTCTTATAAACTTGTATAATAAATCATGATCTTAAAGAGCGTTCCTTAACGCATAACTCCCAGAAATGCGTTAGGCAGCTCAAGACATTTGCAAGCCTTATTTGTCACTTTCCTGAAGGTTTAAATCAAAGCTGGACAGCCTTTATAATAAACACACCAGCCATGGACATTGCTTTGCTCACTACTAAACATAGCCACTTCTATGGAAATGGAAGCCACTAGTGGAAATGGAAGCTTTAGAACACTGCCTGGCAATGCTGTACATCTTTCCAAATGAAATACAAGTGAGCTTTAGTCTGCTTAGAGTAAAATTACCTTTATACAGTTTAGCCAGGTGATCAAGATGACTTGACTTTCAGATGGGAAAGAAGACAGCATAATGGGAAATTCAATCTTAAACTGTTGAGCTGTCATCTGACAGCCCAAACAAAGCTATTTTGGGCTAATAGAATGCATTCTACTCCCTCATATTCCATTACTCAATTTGGAGAACAAAGAACACTTCTTCCGGGG